TCGCCGAAATTGGTCGAGTTTCCAGCGTTACTAACTAATACACCCTCGAAAAAAAAACAGCCGAGATAACAGAGATTAAAAGTTGCATACTGACAAACGTAAAATACCAATTACCTGACAGTAAAGTGCCTTCCTTTGGGAATAGAACGGTTAAGGCTAGACGCCGGCTGCAAACTTCCGCCTCGCTTGGTGCTTCACCGACATCAACTCTGGAACTTAGCTCTCCCCGAGGAGAAGGACATTTTGCAAACTCGATCTGATTGGTTGAAAACACGGGCAATAAGCACACAGACTACCCAAACATAGGAAATAAACACAGACGGAAATCTGAGAGGGTGGCTACCCAACCAAACTCACGCTATTTCCGGGACTTATCGCTGATGACCAAGGCAAATGTAGCCTGTGTCACAGCCGCCTCTCCACGGAAAAAAAATCGGAGGAAGTCTCTCTCCAATTTTTTTCCCGGCAGAGGCGGCTGTGACACAGGCTAAGGCAAATGCTGTCCACCGTTTTTACTTGGGAGTCTTTGGAAGACGGCTTGTATCCAGCCCGGTAAGGGTTAGGACCCTGAGGTACTAGATGGGGATTGGAACTCTACATGAAGTGGGAGAACATAGAGTGCGGGGATTTTTTAACGCAGCCGGGATTGGGAGGAATAGAGAAAATACTTTGCATTATTACGATTTATTTTACACTGGAAAAAGCACAAAGAAGTTTGCAAGGAGGGGATATGATAGATGCCGGCAGTAAAGATTACGGGAAGAGGGAAGTTTAAACAACCCTTACCTGCCCTACTTCACCCCACAGTCCCACAGGGTTGTCAGATAACCCCAAAAGAACACTTGATCAGTATGCAATCAGCTAATTGGTCCATGAGTTTCGGCAGTACTCCTAGGCGATAATCAACAAATAAATAGTAGATGATAAATCAAAAACACAAAATTGTGTCCTATTGGCAACTCATCGATTCCATGTCAACTTTTCCTGAATATAATGTTAGTAATACTTGCCGTTACTAGCTTATATAGATTTTAAGGGTTGCGGTCTTTTGCAATGCACGAGTTGTCAAGGTACGTTATAACAATGTGATATTTACAGAAGATTTAGTGATTCTAAAAAACAGTAGTTATTAGTTAGGCGTCCACAATTAGTCCAGGAGACTTTGCATTATATTATTCATTTGGAAATACGCCTCTTTCATCTTTGTCTAGGCTTATTATTTCGGGGGGGGGGGGAAGGCGGTGGTGTGGACACGTGTCGCAGGACCTAATGACTATCCGTTTCTTTGCAAGCTTTACTAGTCTTTTACTCGACTATAGAGTACGAGTAGTCCCTCTTTCGCTTAGTCCGTTGAGCGAAACCGTAAATAAACCGTGGGGAAGATGGCCTACTTTGGTGTGCTTCTCGTCCCCAGGGGTTCGCACGGCCATTTTTTTCTCATCCTCCCCCCCCCTGGAGCGAGCCCCGTATTTCGTCTGAGGACTTGAAATTTAAGGAACCCTCTTATTGTCTCTCTGCACCCATGTGTAAAAATAAGAACCGTCC